CTGCTGAAACACCTGCCCCACAGCACGGAGGGTGTGAACTCATCATGGGGAGTGAATTGGGCAGATTTTTGATGTCTACATTACAGGGAAAAGAAAACCTTTAGAAGCAATTTCAGCCCAGGCTTCCCACCTGTGTCGCCAACATGAACACCATGTCTTTTGCCTGAACCCTGCTGGTTCCATCAAGACCAAACAATCTTTGTCCAAAACACAGAATTTTATCTCAAAATGCATTTGCTGAAAACTGGGGAACTGCCCCAGCTCTCTAAACCTCCTGCTCTGTGTACAAACAGCAAAGGAGGCACAGTAAGGCTAACCTGGAAAGGGTGAGGATGGTTTTGCTATGGCCGAGGTTTGCTGGAGCAAACCAGAGCAGCAGCAGATCCCAGCAGCACCTCTTTGCAACCAGAACCTGCACACAGAGCCATGCAGGTCTCCAAAAAGAGAGGGATCTGCCCTCAGCATCTCTTGGCTTCTCCCAGCCAGCACCCACAGTTAAGTCTCTTGCTGAGTGTTGAGTTTGGAAAGGTGGTTTGTAGCCTCTAGGTGGATGGTCAAGGTTCAGGGACACATTAAACCATCTCTGTGCATGGGGTAAGAAAGGAGATGAGAGGGAGCATGTTAGAGCCCAAGAGCAATCCACATGGAATTCAGGCAGAATTTCCCCAAATATTCAGGTGGTACTGGCCAAGGAAATCCAGACCCAAGGCTCCATCCAGCTTTCAGCTGCAATGGAGGGAACGTGGGTGTGTTTCCTCTGAGGGTAAAGCAGAGAGGTCTCCTACGGCCGTGACGTGCAAAGGAAACACACAGGGAGTGCAAGGGGAGGAAGAAGAACAAGTTCCTCTAAAAGGAACACATGCTCTTCACCATCAAGGCCAGACAAAGCTGACAAGTTGGTTTTAAAAGTGGCAAAAAAAATTAAAAAAAATGTCCAGTGACCCAAACTGAGCAGGGCCACGTGCTAGATGTTGAGGCTTCAGAAGAGATGTTTCCATACAGGAGAGCAGGGTCCAAAGAAAACAAAACCTCCCAAATGCATCCCTGCAAAAGACCCAAAATTAAAGCAAGCAGAATCAATTCAGCTTTTTTCCAGGGCTTTCAGGAAAGCAACTGAAAGTGGATCAGTTTTTCAATCAGCACCCTGTGTGCTTTACCCCCGAGAGGAAACCTAGAGTCAGCTGGCAGAGTCAGGCTCATTTTAGCTGCTGGTCCCTGCTTGCCAGCTGCATGGAGGAGGGAAATTGAGGGAATTGGCAGCTTTTCTTTTGTCACCTGGGATAAAGGCACCTTTAACTCAGTAATATAATATACCTATCTTATAATAATATAACATACCCAGTATATATTATAAGCAGGAATATAATCCACCCAATTATCTCCACATCTCCTACGCTGAGCGGTGGGGCTGACATGTCTGGAAGACACGGAGGCACTAGCAGAGGCAGGAAAACATCTCCCTGCCCTGGGATATATTCCTGCATATACCAGGATTTGGGGAAAACTTTGCATGTCTCTCACAGGTGAGACACACAAACTCCTCCCACCTTGGGGGATTTTTTCTGCCATTTTCTGCCTCTTTACTGAATTCCATCAAGATGTGGGGGTTAAAGGAGTGAACTGGGAAGCATGCAGCAAGCTTCAGGTGGCAGCAATGCAGAGAGAAAACCAAAATGTTGTAAGATGAGTGTGTCCCACCTTCCCAGTCTCTGCTGGGCATGGTCTGCATTGCTGGAAAGACATCTCCAAAATCATAATCTACAAAAATGAGGGATAAAACTCAGGATTAGAAATACAAGTAGTGGGGAGGGAGGGAAAAGGGAGAACGTGAAGGGGATTTGGGGAAGGAGATGGGAGAGGAGAAAAACAAAACAATCCTCCACTGGTATCCAAAACATGTGGGAAAATAGTTAAGGGAACATGGATGCAAATGGAAACCAGCTGCACTAATGGGTGTTCCTGTTGGATGTTTGTGTTATGGGAGCTACAACAGGACCAGCAAAGGATGAAGGCCCCATTATGTGAGCTGCTGGAAGGCTAAACAAGAAAATAGTCGAGATCACCCAGGGCTTGTGAACCTAATCAGGGATCCCCTCTGGGAAGCAATTTAATCAGTCTGTGCCTCAGTTTTCCCACTTCATATTTACCTCCCATAGATACTGTGCTGATTGACTCATTAATGTTTTCAAAGGCAGGGGTCTGATTAAACAGAAAAACTTGTCCTCTGTTCCTAAAATCCCCAACTCCACCTACACTCCCAGGGTAGTGAGATGCTCCTGCT